ATGTGTTCCTGGGCTCCTGTGTAGGTGTTAAAATGCAAATCAAACTTCTGTGATGGTCAGGAATATTTTGTACCTGATTGGAGATCTATATCTAGTTAGGAGCAGGGCACCTAGTAAGAGGTCAATGATGTTTCTATTATGACCCCCAAGATACTGAACACAAATACAAACTTCTTCTTTTTCAGCCTGGAGTTACCTACTCTCAACCAGGCCAAGATACATCAGCTGGACTGGTGCCCAGTATTGTACAAGGCTTCACAAACCACAATCTCAGGCTCTCCCACAATAACCCTGTTGCATCTGAATCCAGCTCTTCAGAATTTCCTACTCCCGTGCTCTCTGCAAAACCTGTAGCAAAGAGAGCAGTTGCAGAGGTTGCTCAGCATGACAAAGTACCTCGCCCGGTTGGCTTTGTGCCTCCTCCTCCTCCATGCCCTGGGAAGATTCACCATTTCAAGATATAGGCTGTGTTACGGACATAGCAATACAGCTAAGTGAAGCACCAGTGTGCAGCAGAAGCATCAACACACAGCCCACAGCATCAAGTACAAATAGGTGAGAATGCTTGACTCTGAGCTTAAATGAATTTTACTCTCAGCAGAGCTGTGGCCAGCATCTTGCAAAAAGGCCTGGTTCAAAATATAGATGATTACTACATACAGCAGTTCTTTTCTCTACATAAAAGGATGCTCTAGTTAAAATACAGAAAATAATGTTTCAATGAAACTGTTGTAAGACCTATACAGCAGTTGCAGCTTTGTGATAGAAACATCACCTGAAAGGTTACTGCACAATAAAATGCTCAACTGAAATGCTTTGGTGTCTTCCTATCTGTATGTATTTTCATTCAGTTGTCAAGTATCTCCTTCACAGCATTATGAGTCATATTCTAGGCTTGATCTTGAAAACAGTAAGCTCCTGCACTTCTCATCAGCTTCACTGGGATGTGTGGGTACTGAGCACTGTAGAAAATGAGGTCAGTGCTTTCTTTTGATCAAACACCAGTAACACTGAAGAAGTGGCAGGAAAAAATGTATTTATCCCTTCCACCTGTAGCGTTTCCTAGCATGTATCTACTTTTATTATCTACCAGAAGTACTTCAATACTTTTGGACATGGTATCCATGTCTATGAAAAGAGCAAAGAATCAGGACACATTCAATGCTGAAAGCATCAATCCTTCCAGCCAAACAGAAGTGCATTCTCTGTCTTCCAGCAAATACACAGATGCAATATGATCATGGGTACTGCATGTGCTATGTGTATATGAAGGAATACCAATCCAAGGGAATAAAAATATATTACAGACATATATCTTATGTAATAGGAGTCAGACAGTGATAGCAATTTACCGTTGCCCTAGCAGCCAAATCTTCCCCAAATTTCTGACACATGTTAGAGGCAAAATCTGTTCTAGGTAGAAAAGTAATAAGAGACAGGGGCCAGAATGATCTTTACTGCCAGCCAGACAGGAATTCTGCAGGCCCTGTGGGAGCAGTCTCTAAGACACTCATGAATCTTTAACCAGGAACAGTACTTGCTACAAGGTAATTATCATGCAAGCAGCAAAAGCTGCAGAACACATGTCATTTCGGAACTGTTTCAAATAACCTACACTGTTCTCCTAGTTACAACCTTCTAGTATTCAGAAAGCAACACAACTAATGTTTGCTCTTGGTGACAGTGCAACAAGTTGCTATACAGAAAGGTTCTGCTCTGTTATACCAATGGGGAAAGAAAAAGCCATAGGCACTTGAACCAGTGCTTCAACTGGGTGTATGGAAGGGAAAGAAAAAGGGCAGTCAGCCCAGACTATAAGCTGTAGTAAAATGTGATGGCAACATGCTGAGGAGAAGCTCTCCCCATGAAGGCAGCATCTCTCACGTTTCAAGAATACAATGCGTTCTGTCAGAAAGTGTGCTGCAGACCATTGCACCAGCTACTGCCAGTCAATTGCTAAGTGAATTTTTGCTTCTCTGTAAAGCAGTGACTCCAGTATGTTCTGCATGCAGCTATTCATTCACAAAGTGCTAGCACTAAGCTATAGATATTTCTCAAAGTGGTAAGGTAAGAGGTCCTCCCATCCCACTGCATGAGACACAGTACAGGACTTAATTAAATAGCTGATATTATGATCTGCATTATTATAACAGCAGATACACGAGGAGGAGTTTTTAACTCACCTGGAGCAATTAGGTTTTCCTACCTTTTGTATTTTAAAACCAGAAATCGCCTTAGCCATACAAATTGTCTTTCATATAATGAAATGGGCACTAAGTTATAGAAGAGACAGTGTTTTTCAGACTTAGAAGTCTTTATCTGATGGCAGAAACAGAGGGATCCCTGCCAATGGGGATCTCTGAACTCCAGAAATGCTGCATTGTCTTGTTGTCTTTTCCAACCACACAAAGCAAGGATATGTAGCAGAACACATGCAGCCTCTGCACTTCACAGATGTTCTCCCACACTTGGGGTAACTATTCCATTGTTTCTTAATATGGGGAGAAAAAAACAAACACAACCAACCCCCCCCCCCAAATGGCAAAATTGTTCTGTGCATTCCAGTTAGTAGATGCACCTCATCTTTCTTTTCCTTAACACTTGCCCTCTTAAGGACACGTTTTTCTCCCTAAAGGGTACATTTTCCATGACTGTTTCGTCTCCCCCCAGAATGGCCCCGTATTCATGCACCTGCACCTTAGCAACAGATTCAGTATTTAATAATAGATTCTATGAGCAGCAAGTGTTGCAAAATGGCAATACATAAAATACAAATGCCTCCTTTCCTGAAATGCAAGTAGTTCTGCATCACTAGCTGACAATATTTTTCAGTTTTTTCAAGCACTGTTTTGCTAAAGCATACGTACTTTATGTGCTGCTTTGGCTGGACATGCTTAGATTTCCCACCTGTGACCATGTTTTGAAGTCAGCTACTTCAATAAAGAAATTTTTCCTTTCCAGTGGGAGGAAGAGTGCAAAGAACAGTCAGGGATATAACAATTATAAGAGGCACCGACACAACCAGTACTAACTGGCACCCATTTCCATAGAAATACCATGCACTGCATAGATAAAGAAAATGAGTTATTATCCTTTAGTTCCCGGGGAATCATCCCCAAGCACAAGGAACAATGAGAGTGAGTTGGAGTTGCTGCTTCTGCTCCATAGTATAGGAACATATACTATGGCTACAGCAGCATTTCTTAACATTCACCCCTTGTGTCCTTTCCCTCCAGGATACAGTCCATACATTATCCCTCACCCTGAGTTTGCAAAGCAACTGGTGAAAACATGAGGATGCTCAGTCTAGCAACCATGTGCCCCTTGCAACCAGCTATCTGAGTTTTCCACATCTGCCACCAACCAAAGTCTTCTTATAAAAGTTTCAGCCCCAGTGCTGTTGCAGGTCTTCTTGGCTCTATGTATAATCCCACCCAGCTTTCCATAGACATGCTCTGGGACAGGCTCTGATGTCTCCCAGAGGAACATACTTTGAGTGCTTCTGGGCTAAAGAGCTGAGATTCTTTATACCACCAGTAAAACCCCATGACAATATGTAAAAATTTTAACTTGCCAAACTTTACACTTTACACATTAAATAGAGACAATTATGTCCTTCACTTGCACTTTTCCTTCCTTACTCAATGCAACCCTCAAACCTAAAGGTCCCCTGTCATCCAGCAGACAGCTGTGATCATACAGACTCCCATGACAGAAAATGAGGGCCAAAGATATAATTACCCAACTTGTGGTATTCTTCAAGGTGAAACTGAAGAACTGCAGAATTGAACCAAAGAATTGCTCCTTATTAGGAAACCAATTACTTTCACTGGATCCTCCCCAAGTAATGGTGGTAGATCTTCAAGATAACAACTATCTGTACAGCTATTTTACTTTATCCCCAGCATGGAGTTCCTGGCAGGTTAGCCACAAGGCACACTGATGTAATTTCAAACTTAAGTTTCTCCAGGCAGAATTTTCAAGGACCTTTGAGGGGTCCTTTGTTCCCTCTCAATGGCTGGAGGCATTGAGAGGGAGCAAATCCTGAAATGGAGCCTTCAATACCTTAAGACTGTTTTGATAGCCCTGGTTCACTTATTGTCTATTTCCTCCAGTCTCTTACAGTAGCTCCTTTTGCACCATCTCACTGAAAGAAATTAAGTCTTTGGTGCAAGAAGAAAACTTATCACATCTGTGCTAGTGATAGAAATTTCTGCTTAAGAGCAGGCACTGTGATGAAACCATTAATTCTTTACAGTGCCTTGTTATGATGTTATCTAAGGGTATTTAATATCTTGAGCCATTTATCCACAGGCTTCTTGTCTGCACATGGACTGCATTTTGCTAGCTTCACCTGGGCTAAGGGTTAACATTCATCTCTAGGTATCCAACTGAATAGAAATGCTCAAAGAATGAATCCAGACTGAGCTTTCTATCCCAACCAAACTGACCATATATAACAGAGAGTCAGTGTATTTGTTTACAATTAGCATTTAAAAACAAAGTGTAAAATTGGTCAACATTGTGGCCCTTATCCAATTCCCATTCAAATTACTTGGACCTTTGTCATTATCTTACTTGGGAGAAGAGCAGGCTTATTGACAGAACGGAGCTGGAGACAGACCTGTTCTGCATGTAGGTCTATTTAAACAATTCTGGTTTCTTAAGAAAGCAGCTTCATGTGTATATTCTTGTCCACTGTGATGAAGTCAAAGTTATACAATCTGCCCAGTGAAGTTTGAATTAGAAATGTAAAGAATGAGAAAGTGCTCTCTGGTCTCAAAGGGAGCAACAACACTTTTGTAAAACCTTGTAATCATTGACTTATTGTTTGCTGTTGCAGCTGTAGGTTTAAAGGTGATGGTCAGTATGCAATAAAAAAAGGATGCAAGTTTAAAAAGAGACACAGCTCAATTACAGAAATCTGGTATTTCATGCAAGTCTCAGCTTCTCCATACTGACTTACCATTCTAATCTGCTGCGCTGGTTTACTGCGCAGAATGGTTTTACTTGGTTCAGTGCTCTTTGGCATATAGGCGCTTCGCTTCTGGGCTGCCTCTCCTCCTGCCAGAGAAGTACAAGCTGCATTGCTTTAACTCACCTCTGATGACACTGCTGCAGAGAAGGCTGCAGATCTGGCTCTTTGCCAGATCAATGCTGACAGAAAAGAGGGCTACATACTCAGCCTGTACTGAATTTTCAGTGTCCAAGAACATCCTCAGGTAAATTGCCTGCTTGTTCTGTATCAGTTTCTCCCATTAAGAGCCCTGTGCCTATCACTATTCCTTAGCAGTATCTATTTGAACTAAGAAATATTTCAAGAGGCAAGTGTAAAGTTACATTCAGAGGACTCCAGAGGCCATGTCAGCTTTACACACAGATGACTAGGAAGTTTCATCACCACTGTGAGCAATTAAGAGCAAATCTCAGTCACGATTCTCTGCTGCCTGCCGCTGGAAAAGCTCCAGGCATCAGTTCAAAATTGCTATGGAACACCAGTACTCTGATTTAATTTAATTTTACACCTTCCTCCCACTGCCTTGAGCAGTTGAAGTGCAAAGGCTATTAAGTCATTGTATGTTTTGCACAAAAGATGTAAGCACTAAGAGGTGTAAACACACCCAGCTTGGGACCAGGGAATTCCTTCACAGACCTCCAAATGATGACTCATTCTCCAGCAGAAGTCTGCAAACATTTCAAGTACAAAAATTACACTGGAAATATCTATGGAATATCAGTCTCATACCCTCAAGTATCTTATTTCTCTATGTGTGCTTAATTTATTATTATTCTGTGCTACAATAGCTGAATCTATTGGCACTAGCCAGGGACAACCTGAAATGAGTGCACAAGGCCAACAACACATAAGGTATAGTGGAAGCATGTACTAACATTCCCCGCCATGGCTTGCTTCCATAATCTTAACCTGAAAGGCTGAATTCTGAACCTTTAAAGAAAATCAGGCTCATCGCCAGATGTTTAAAGACTTGTACCGGCAAGAATTTGACACTACCTGCTGCTCTCACAAGGACATAGTTTTTGCAGACATGCTGTGACCTCCAGCAATCTGAGATCTCACAATTACAGATGTGCACTTCACTGTGCTTTACACTATGTTCTCTACACTGCTTTGCTCAGGCGACAGAATGTGTCCACTAAGCAACTGGATCAAGTCTCTTGAGAATTTTTGCACATGGGATGCCTCTGAGCTGGCCGAGAACCCACATCGTCACTCACGGAGTTTGGTACTTAGACCCCCATCCTGGGCCTTTTTCTTACTGACAATAATTAGAGCACCCTGTGCCCACCCTAGAGTGCAGCATGGTGGGAGCAGACATGCTGTAAACCACTTAATTCATCTCCATGCTTCTCCCTTCACCTGTGCCAACAATATCTCAGCACAGGAGAATTTTAATCCTTGTTTGTGATTTGATCTGTCACTTAATTCTCTAGATGCTTAAATTATTACCTTGGGGCATGCTTAGCTCTTTGTTAATTTAGGAATTTAATTTACTTTTTTTATTTATTATGCTTATCCTATAAATAATTTATTTCAAGACAAGTAGACAATCTAAGCCCTTTGTCACATTTTTGCTGCTGCTGGAACTGAGTACATATGAAGCAGTCACCTATGACAGGGATGTTCATGAACAGTAACAACCTTCTACTTCACTCAAAAAAAATGGAGAGGTCTCTTTTATTTCATCAGTCAATGGTCCTTCCTCCCATTTTTTTACCGATACTCAGGATAAAAACATTTTCAAAGTTACTTCAAATTCAAATCTGCCCTTAAGCAACCTACAGTTCAGTTTTGCTCTAATTGAAACTAATGAGGCATTTGCTATCAACTTATATCCAAGTAGGACAGAGCCTTTCTTTCATACAAGATACTTATGATCAGTTTCACTGACAGGCACTTAACCAGAATTACAAAACATGTCAAAATATTTCATTTCTTTCCCTTGCACCAGGTCACTCTGCCACAAAGGCGATGCTGCACTGCTGTCACATCTCTTCTGACTCCCAGGCTCCTCAGCATGCATTCCAGTGGCAATCCTAGAATCAGCACTGCTGAGGAAGGGATCTTTTGGCAATGCAGAAAAGAGATTATATTAAATATTAAGCAGACATCAAAAGGCCTTTGTGTAATGGTCTTTTAATGAAAATTAAAAGAAGGATGGATGAAACCTTCAGTGATCTGCTGAGCTCTGAATAAACCCCAAATTATTCTTTCCCCAGTGGAGGATGATACATACAGAACCAAGTAGACAAACATACATGTGGAATTTATAACAACCTCATCTGCGTATTAGAGCCAGTATTATACAAGAGAGCCACAGGCAACAGGAAATTTGGTCCACCCTGCTTGCATTTAGAATTCCCAAGATCACTAAGCTTTACGATCAGTCTTCATGATTCAGCTGAGTAAACTCATCTACCTCAAACATTTGACTCTTTTGACATTTCTTTAATGAGATATATGTGTGCTTTCGCCACCAGAATACCTTGAGCAACCAGCCTGAAAGCTCAGGTCATCAGTCCCAACTTTGGGACTCCTTAAAGATACACATTTTTCTTGGTTATTACTTCTTCATGCAGGATAGTCTTAATGATGTTTTTTTCCTCATAGAGGATATACCTAAAGTTACAGGCTTGTACTAAACCACAGAACCATAGAATCATAGAATAGTTATGGTTGGAAAGGACCTTAAGATCATTCAGTTCCACCCCCCCTGCCATGGGCAGTGACACCACACACTAAACCATGTAATCCAAGACTCTGCCCAGCCTGGCCTTGAACACTGCCAGGGATGGAGCATTCACAATTTCCTTGGGCAACTTGTTCCAGTACCTCACCACCCTCACAGTAAAGAACTTGTTCCTTATATCTAACCTAAACTTCCCCTGTGTAAGTTTGAACCCAAATGCTGCCCTACTCAAAAACATACCATATTTTCAATAAATGGCAATTAGTCTCTCACCAGTTTTTCTTTCTGTTTATTGATTTAACCTATATTAGTGCATAGTAAGGAGGCATATTAACATGGTATTTAGATACCTTGTACGTAAAGAGAAGATCATGACTAGTTCTTTCCACAGAAAGATCTATGCAGCCAGGTGTGGGGATACTGTCATGCCACTGTACACAAAGCTGCTGCACCTCAGCTTCACTTTGTCAAAACAGCTTTTGATCTTTTCAGAACCTTCAAAACAACACAGATAATTAAACCTCAGGATTAGTGTAGGCAAACCTGAGAGCTAAGTGAAAGACATTGCCAGACTACTTCATAGAACACATAGGGAAAAAAAAATGATATGAAAATACAAAGAAATCATATAAAACATTACAAGTTGCATATGTGAGAATATAACTTATATAATTTACAGTTTAAGCAGAACCAGGAGCTGCATCATGCAGCACCTTGTCTTTCTGTACCATATGATGTAAACACTAGATACATAGAGCTGTTCTTTTAATCTTTCCCTGTCCCTCTCACATGGAAACACATTTGCCCAAAAGCTGAGCCCTTAACTGCTCTGCAAGCCTGTGCTGCAACGAACTGAATGAAGGTTTTTGTGCTTAAGCACAGGCTCACAATTCAAGCATTGGACTGAAGCTTTAAGTAAGTCACAGACATGCAAGGTCTCTCACAGGACTTTCTGATATCTGAGAGAATATTTAAGTTATCTACATCAATGCGCTCATTTCCTCTTTACAGCAAGTGCAAAGCATACATACTTGAAGAAGATACTACTCTAAGAAATAAGATAATAAGATATTTTTATTTCTAATGCCTACTGAGAATGATCCACATCGGCTGTTTGTGGTTTGGTTTGGTTGTTTGGTTTGGTTGTTTGTTTGGGTTTTTGCTTTTTTAATTTTTTTTTATTTGTGGTATTTCTCACCTCATTCTTATTGAAGGTAAAATAACTTGCCTTTCAAATCTAATCATAAAATGCAGTTGATGATGGAAACATCACCATATTTAATCCTTATTCTTGGGTTCTGGTTGGTATCAGAATCAGAAAGATAAAAATTATTCCAAAGGGCTTTTCTTTAATTAAAGCTGGCTAAATGCAGGTCCAAGCCTGCTCTAACATGGCCTGAATCTCTGGCTATTCTCAACATGGCCACTCTTGAGAATTTGTCCCACAGAACTTTCAGTTTTCAGAATACCTATGTGTCACACCTGTGTGCTTTGTGTTTCTCCATCTCTCCCTTTTATGTGTCCCTACTTTGTTCTATCAAATCTGGGATACTACCTTTTCTTTTTTTGTTTTCAGGAGATCACTGGTTCTGTCTTCTATCTCATCTTGGATGTAGTAGATACCGAATGTTACGTATTCAGCAAAAAGGTGTGGAAAAATTGTATGGCCAGATTTGATCATACAACTGCAAGGATTTTATTTTCTTATTTAATCTCAGGTACGATGAGTTACTCAAGCACTGCTGATGACAGCAAAACCCCTATACATGGCTTTTTTAGTAGGCAGCAGAGTTTAGAAGACATCAAACTCCATTTTTAAGGTCCACAGTTTCCCTCTGTATTTTCTAATCAGTTTCAAGACTGGTAAACTTCATTTTTAAAAATAAAGTTAAAAGAAAGTTTTTGACCAGAGCTAGTAAACAGACATAAAAAATAGACATGCTAGGACACTCTTTAGAATAAATAGTTTATTTTTATAGCAACTCTGTAAGAGTTTATTTTAAAGACAGCCTGTCAAGAAGGGAATAAAAGAAACTGACTTCTATATAATGTGATTCTTTGTTTTGTTTAATTTCACTTTTATTCTGACAACTTTGCAAAAATAGCAATGAAAGAGTTGGAAAAAGAAAGTTCATCAAGATAAGCTGCAAAGACAGAAAGTGATCTAAGAGTGTTGCTACAGGTGACCAAAAAGATTCTGAACAAGTGAAAAAAAAGCCAACCAAATCCTTATGTAATTAAGAATGACAAGAAAGAAGCTTCAGGTGGGGAAAAAAAAAAAAAAGAAGTTTTGATTAAATTGTCCTGAGCTGCTTCTTAGGTCAATCAGTTTTCATTTTTAAACTTTGCTCTTCTGCTTACTTCTACTTACAGATCTTTCAGCAGGAAAAGGGTGCAAAGCATAAATGGCCAATATGTCTTCTGAGAAGTCAAGAAATAGAATCATAGACTCATTTAGCTCAGAATTACACCAGTGGAAGATCTGGCCTTTTGTTTTTGAAGGGGGTACTTAAAAATGTGGTTCAGTAGCACTACAGGTGTATTAACACAACTTTTTCCTTGACAAGAATATCATCACTGCAAGGAGAAAATGAATCGCTGTCTAGGCACTAGCTAATTGGTGCAAAGAGTGCAGTATTAACTGTTTCTCAATGTTTATATTGTTTTAGGTTTATGGTCAATGCAAAGCAATTATTTACATTAATCAGGCAAGAAATTTTGCTCATCTGAATACTTATGAGTGCATTTTACAACCAGGTATGTCTTTATTTAACACACTTTAAAAGAGGGCTGGTAAAGCACTCTTTGCTATACAGCATTACTATAAATTTTAATTGCAATTATGGCTCTACCATGTCTCTATTAGCTTTCAGCTGCCCTACTTTTCACAAGTCAGAGACCATAAGGATAGTGTGGACCTGCAGCTCAAATCAGTCAATAACTGTTTTAATCTCTGGGAAACTCAGCAGAGCCTCTATATGGGCTTTTACCTTCTGGTCCAAAAGGTATTTTTATGGGTTTGTAAAAGGCATGTACAAACAGCAAGCCCACTGCCAGTAGGTTGCGCTTTTTTCTTGCAGTGTCTCTGCCTCCCCTGCAATATTTTTATGAGTCTGCAGATTCGTGAAGATTTAAAATTGTTGAGTGAATCAAACCACATATTGTTACTCCAGGGGACTGTAGGACAGGTGGGTAGGGTTGGGGGCATAGATGCATTTACAGAGACCTACACTAACAATATGCTCTAATGATTACGCTTTCTCTAATGACATTGTTTGGTTTGAATATAAAGTTCCACCTAGATATATTTGGACAGTATGTCCTGACTGCCCAGTTGATGACAATCCAACTGAGCCCAAATATTTGGAAGCTGCTGTTCAAAGCCTTGCCAAGTTCAATGTAAAGAGTGAAAAAACTCATTATTTCTCTTGTCGTCAATGTCACAAGAGCTTCAATGCAGGTAAACCAAGATTCATCTGATTTGTTTTAGCCCTCAAGAAGTATGGATCCAGCTGTTATATTTCATACGAATTGTTATGTCTTACAGATTGTTTAGAGTTTGTATCTGTATTGGACAGAGAATATTTCTTTGCAGAATTCCCCTGGGAAGTGAGGATCTGCATTGATTCAAGACCTTGACTCCATTTATTGCAAAAAAAAAAAAAAAAAATTAGTTTAAAACTAATTTTAGACTAACAGAGAGTCTAAGTGATCTCCTGGGTGACTCCTGTTTGTTTACCAGAGGAATATTTGGTCTCTCTAAAATTCATTATGTATAGATAGCAAAACGGTTTTCACTCCTTGTCTCAAACAGATATTACTACAATATCTAATCACTCCTATTTTCCATCCTTTACATACTTGCATTTCAGAAATATGAAAAGTGATCCTGTTCATTAAAACAGCCAGAAATTATCAACAAGGGACTGAAGCGGGTCTTTGGGTATGTAGTTCTATGTGGATGTTAATTTACTACTAAACCCAAACTCATTTCAACTGTAGCAAAACTAAGAAGTTACTAAGAAGTAAAAATTAACCAGGCAATAAAGCAACACTGACAAAAAATCATTCTCCTGTAATACAATTAATAATAATGCCCCAAGTGTAACCTGCTGCTTCCACACTTAGGAGGAGTTTTACATCTATTTCAAGGCCTGTAGGATTCTTCTTTCTTTCCGATGCATGCACAAGGTCTAATTTACACTATTTTCTCATTTATAATGGGTTGAAGGTCCTGCATATTTTGTAGAATTTTTAATTCAGGAAACATCCTGTTCCAAAAATGACATCTCCAAGTGCAAGCCACTTTCATCAGAACTAGCTGTGAGTACTTTTCCTTCTATAAACATCTGTTTTTCAGATACTATGATTCCTCATTGAATATTTAGCCTATCCCTTTGGATTTTTGCAGGCAAGAAGCAAAGCCCACATGCATCTTTTCATGGGTTGTAGCTTTATACAGACTTGCAACTGTATAAACTGCTTTAGAATAGGGAAAACATTTCAGTAAGAGTTCTGAATTCTTACCTCAAAGTTCACGTATAAAGAAAACAGGAAAAAAAAATACCATCCAGAAAAAGGCAGGGAAGCCACTGCCTTACAAAACTGATTCATTTTTAAGGATTTTCTCCAAGTAAACAGGCACAGACAGTAAAGCATAAACAATGCATAAAGAGTATATTCATACAACAATCAGGTCAGGAAGGAAAACATTTAGGAACTAAGGAAAAGTATAAGAGAAAATGAAAGACTAAATTAGCATGCTGACAAGAGATAGCCTTTCAAGCCCTATCTTAATTGAGATCCAAGCCATGTCACCTGCAGCCCAGTAAAGCCACAACTATTAGAAACAATTTTTTTTTATGGTTTCTTTCAGTAGTACGGTGTGAAATTGGTTTTGCCTGAAAAAGGCTATTATGTTCCATTACACAACTTGCCTGCATGGGGATATTCTGGTACAGCAGAACTTAAAATGTGCTGCTGTAGTTGGGCCTTAAGTGGCCAATTTATTTTTACTATCACGTTGCCTAATCCTCAATTCAAATATAAAGCCTTTTTCAAAATGCTGCCTAGCTTTGTAAGCTTGCCAATCCCCAAGTAGAAGTTTGACCAAGGTGCTTATCCCTGCAAATACACACAGAAGCTGTAACTATTCAGTCTTTCTTAGTCATTTTACAAGAAGGGAGCTAATGATCAGTGCCGCCATGTGAAAAAATGTTTGCACTTTCTTCTTCCAGCAAATAGGCTTCTGCAAAGGCTCTGTAGTAAACAGTCACTTGGAACAGGAACAGTTTGTCACAATATCCTGTGAAATTTACCATCTGCAGGTATTTCTTAATCTAATCTTAATATTGCAAGAGTAATACTCATTTACAAAACAAGAATTGAACTTTTTAAAGCCCAGCCATTCTAAAGTTTTCTTATTCACAGAGATACAGGCTTCAAGAAAGCGGTAAGGCCAAATAAGAAAGAAATCTGTATTGTGATAACACAGAATGTTGGTAGGTGGATAGAGATTGTTTCTAGGTGTTGCAGAGGCAATAGAATAAGTATAGAGTCAATTGTACAGACTGTGGTCAGAATGCTCTACAAAGAAATTGTAAATATCAAAGGTAATACAAAGAGTAATAATTGTCTAGTTACCCAAGCTTCATGAACCCATCTCCACTGGCATAAGGAGTTCCATCTGTCTATCCTTTGACCTTCTGTTCTGCAGCTGGTCTTTGCAGACTGGAGTTGCAGCAGGGCCTTAGTGTGAAGGGTGACCTTCTTTACAACTGAAAGACTTTGGAATAGCTTCAAAATAGGTAATGCTTATTGCCTGTTATATAGGATCCTGCCACTGAAGAGAGAAACAGCAAGCTAACTAGACACCTGTAAAATCCAGCCAGGATCATCAACAAGCTTTCCCTTCAGAAACTGATCCTTTCTCCCCACACTTAGAAAAAACAGTGGGCTGGGTTAAGATTCTACCACTTTCAACTGAGGAGGTCTCTTTCAAAAATCTACCAAGAAGTCAAAATAAACATAAAGATGGAAAGCCAGCTCCACCTGAGGCTGTAGGACATACGCCCAGTCTCAATGGAGAAAAGACTCGAGCAGACAAACCAGGCATGACCAAACCAGTTACTGGACCAGTTATTCTCCTTTTTCCTGAATCAGTTTCTCTATCAGACTCATGCCCAGGAGAAGCAAGGAAGATAAATTCCTTCCTCCAGCCTTTGTTGCCTCAAAAGCCTACCAAAGTGCAGCCAGCATTCAATCACCTCAACTATCTGCAACAAAATAATAGCCACAATTGCCAACCTGGTCTTTGAATTTGTGTAACATCTTTAAATAAATAAATTGCTTATTATAGTCTTCATCTTTGGAATTCTCAGGTTTAAGAAAGCACAAGAATAAATTAGAAAAAGAAATTTAACTGGTGCTTTTTCCAACAAAAGTATTTGGCTTTTAATTCTCAAATTCCTCTTCACAGTATCACAGTATCACAGTATGCTAGAGATTGGAAGGGACCTTGAAAGATCATCTAGTCCAATCCCCCTGCCGGAGCAGGAACACCTAGATAATGTTACACAGGAATGTGTCCAGGCGGGTTTTGAATGTCTCCAGGGAAGGAGACTCCACAACCTCCCTGGGCAGCCTGTTCCAGTGTTCCGTCACCCTCACTGAGAAGAAGTTTCTTCTCAAGTTTAAGTGGAACCTCTTGTGTTTCAGTTTGTACCCATTACCCCTTGTCCTATCGTTGCTTGCCACTGAGTAGAGCCTGGCTCCATCCTCGTGACACTCCCCCTTTATATATTTCTATACACTAATAAGGTCACCCCTCAGTCTCCTCTTCTCCAAACTATAGAGACCCAGCTCCCTCAGTCTTTCCTCATAAGGGAGATGCTCCACTCCCTTAATCATCTTAGTTGCCCTGCGCTGGACTCTCTCCAGCAGCTCCCTGTCCTTCTTGAACTGAGGGGCCCAGAACTGGACACAATATTCCAAATTAAAGTTAACCAAGGAGGGTAAAATAACTTGCAGGGCTCAGACAGCCCACAGGCATCGGAAAAAAACATCCTCAGTAGCAAAAATTTGTCACAGCACAGTGTGGAAGTGCTACTCCCCAGGAAATAGTGAGATGGAGCTGAGCATGATAACCAGGCTGGCAGGGCAGGAGCCTTTCCCATGGAACCTAAGCAAGGCAAACAGGGCAGACCCAGGGATGGTAGACAGGTTATGGGAAAAGGCCAGATCACCACGGAAGTTCACGGGAAATGAGGCATGTCTGAGGTCAAATCAGAAATATGAGTTAGTGACTTATTGTCAGGATCAGGTCTAGTTATGGTAACCAGAGTCAGACACAGCCCAGTGGTCTCCAAACAAGTCCATGGTGATGACACAAGGGTCTGCCCAGAAAGGCTGCAGGACTGGATCAATAATATCCATAGCCAGGCACAGGCACAGCTGCAATGCAGCAGGAGCTGTATAGCACAGGCAGTGGCCAAAACGCTGCAGTCTCATCTTAGCAGCTCCTGTGCAAAGTGGGGCTGGGTTGGCTCTGGGTGTGGCCTCCCCACAGCACTGCCTGGGACCTTGTCCCCAAGGTCACCAAGGGAAAGGGGAGCAGCCTTAGACACACTTCCTGAGTTGGCCCTGAGCCTGGTGGCCAGGCCTCCAAAAGAAAGGATGCTCTCAGGGCCCTCACAGAGTCACACCTGTTATAATGGGTGTGACTCTGTATAAACAGGTGAAGAGAACTTCAACACTGTTCAGCATTAAAAGCTAGTGTTTTTTTGTTATTTTATGGGTTAACTTCTTAATTGTAATGCAATGAGCTTAGCCCATTTTTTTTTATTTTTTTTTATTTCCTGTGGAAGATCTCAAGAAAGATTATTCTTTCCTAAGGCTTTATAACTTCACTTAAAGACAGTGGAAAAGGCTACCCACATGTGAAATCTCTGCACATAATTTTCACTGGTGTAGAATCAAGCCCAGGCTATCCATATTCTTATACTTTACTAATCCTGCTGTGCAGGAAAAATGATGGTTCACAAAATCAGCCTAATTCTTTCTTGAGGTAGGTCATATTAACTGCTTCATAATAAAAACCACAGGGACACTCTACAGCCTGTAGCTAAGAAAAATCAATTTCACTAAAGCGAGACATAGCAACTGTACTGACAATAACACATATAAGTAAATGAGAAGACAACAAGAAGAAAAAGAGTGAACATGGGAAAGAAATGTCCTTTGTGGCCAGGAGTACACTGATATTTGCAATAATTATGCAGTTTGTATGAGATCAGAGAGCCTTTCTTTAGTTGCCACCAGATATGTAAAATCATTTGTTCAAAACAAAATCAATAAAATATTATTGTTTCTGAAGATTTTATGCTGCTGAATCATCCTCAGGATGCTGGACAATTTCTCCATAAAAAGAGCCTTGCAGGAAAAAAATACGGGCTTGTTGGAGTATTCTGGCTTTGTGGAATTTGCTTAAAATGGATTATTTTAATGTTATAAATAAAATATAAATAAAAGTATTATTTTATTTTGAGTGGATACAAACTAATATTGAAATATTGTATGGAGTTATGTTCACAGCAAATATGGGGTCTTTTTTCAGTTTGAAAAGCTCTTAAAAACATAAATTTTACATAAAGGAGTAATTTAATTGCATCCGAGATTTAAAAAAAGCCAAAAAGTGATACGTGAAACACAACAGAGGCAAAAATAATTCCATTTCAATTCAACATAATGAGAAATTTCAAGATATTTTCATTTCATTCATTACAGAGTAAAAAACATTTCAAAATCAGGTAGTTCTCAAAAAATCATAAAATTCAAATTCTATCTAATTCTTACCACAGTATGAGCTGTTGGCTGTGTCAGCATTCCCCTCTTTATTAAATCATCAAATTGCAGCATCTTGTTTTCCCTTGGGAAGTTTCACCTTTGCCAGCTCAGTTTTGCCTAGCATGACCAGTGTGTTCTACCTCCCTGCACAGGCACTGCTGATTTGCGACATACCAATATCAGGGGTAGCAGACATCACCCCATGCCCTTACACAGAGCACTCACTGTTGGCTTTAGGGAGTCAGAGGACAAGAGCATTGAGGCAGCAGCCCACTGTGATTTTCAAAATGCTTTTTTTGCCCCTCTCACTTCTGCTGTTTTATAAGGCAGTCTATTGCATTAATTTTTTGCATGTTGATTCTTATCTCACTGTGGCTCTATCAGTTTAATGACACTACTTAGATTTATATCAAAAATAATAAAGCTGTGTGGTTCACTTGATACACTGGAGGGAAGGAATGCCATCCAGAGGGACCTTGACACGCTTGTGAGGTGGGCTGATGCCAACATTATGAAGTTTAACCATGCCAAGTGCAAAGTCCTACACCTGGGTCAGAGCAATCCCAGGCACAGCTACAGGTTGGGCAGAGAAGAGATTCAGAGCAGCCCTGCGGAGAAGGACTTGGGGGTGTTGGTCAATGAGAAAATGAACATGAGCCGGCAGTGTGCGCTCGCAGCCCAGAAAGCCAACCGTATCCTGGGCTGCATCAAAAGGAGCATAACCAGCAGGTTGAAGGAGGTGATCCTGCCCCTCTACTCTGCTCTCATGAGACTTCACTTGGAGTATTGTGTACAGTTCTGGTGTCCTCAACGTAAAAAGGACATGGAACTGTTGGAACAAGTCCAGAGAAGGGCCACGAGGATGATCAGGCGACTGGAGCACCTCCCATATGAAGATAGGCTGAGGAAGTTGGGGCTGTTCAGCCTGGAGAAGAGAAGGCTGCGTGGAGACCTCATAGCAGCCTTCCAGTATTTGAAGGGGGGCTATAGGGATGCTGGGGATGGACTATTCATTAGGGACTGTAGTGATAGGACAAGGGGTAATGGGTTAAAACTTAAACAGGGGAAGTTTAGATTGGATATAAGGAAGAAATTCTTTCCTGTTAGGGTGGTGAGACACTGGAATGGGTTGCCCAGGGAAGTTGTGAATGTTCCATCCATGGTGGTGTTCAAGGCCAGGTTGGACAGAGCCTTGGTGACATGGTTTAGTGGGAGGTGTCTCTGCCCATGGCAGAGGGGTTGGAACTAGATGATCTTAAGGTCCTTTCCATCCCTAACTGTTATATGATTCTATGATTCTATTCCACTCTCTGACAAGCAATTACTGCCTTTTAAGAATGGTTTAAAGTATTCTGAATAAATATTTTTAATACAATGACATAATATCTCTATTCTGATTAGCAGAGGATATTGGTGTATCCTGTGAAAGGGGTCATCTTGTTTTCCTTTCACTACTTCTCTGCTAGGTAAGGATCTGTAAAATCAGGGATATGGATATAGCCATCATTTGACCACAAACATTTCACCGTATTTTCAGTTCAATTGTTTTTACAATAAACAGAAAGCCAAGATTGGGTAATACATGCATACATAAACTGGACCTTCTTAATTTCAGGCTCAGCAGCACATTGTTAGAAGCTACATATTTTTCATAGTAAAACACTATTGCACAATGTCTGCTAAAGAATCACAAACATAGTCCCTTTGATGGGCCTTATAAGGCCTACTTTCCTCAAAATCTGCTAAATCACTATCTAATCATTTACTCGATGTTTCTAAATGTTAATCCAGGGTCAAGGTAATGGCCCTCTGACACAACACTCAAATTTATATAAAATCATGCCCTTCTAGCATTCACTTATAACTTTGGTGGGCTACTCTGATTTAAATTTAAAAGCAGACTACTGACTTTATTAGAGCACAGGCAGATGAGACCTGAAGCCACAAACAAAATGCTGCTTCTAGCTTCAGCTTTTTTCCTAATACTACTGCAGAGCTCTAATGCCCAAAACAAAACAATTACACCTGCAGACTGTAATACCATTGAAACTGATGCAGGAGTGGCCCTGGATTTGGTCAACAGACATCGCAGAAGTGGCTATGTTTTTGGGTTATTCCGTGTTACTGATGCACATGAACTACATATAGTAAGTATCAATTTAAAGGCTGATTTACACAAGACTTGTGATTTTAAAATAATGACCCAACTCTTTAAAAGCTTATGTTTATTGCTTTTAACAGAGGAATGTTGATGTAATTCAAGGAATCAGTTCTGATTTACATTGTCTCAGTATTCATTTGTACATGGTTTATTGTACATAAGCTTGATCCTGAACAATGCTGAATGCCCTTATTGGCTGACAAGATGTTGTTGTAAGAGATGCTCCAAACAGCTTTACACAACACTGAAAATTATTCTGTCCTGCCTGTTGTCATGTCTCTTTTGTGTTCAAAATTTATATTTGAAGGGTTTCTTTAATCTGTGAATGTTTAATATTAATTAGATCAACCTATCCTCAA